ACTTGCTGAGGGCGCACTCAATTCCATAAATACGTAATACACCACAACCATAATTGTTACTGATCTAATGGCACCTCTGTGTCTAGACTTCTCTAGAGTGCCGTGGTTTGGCTTTCGTCATCTTGCTGCTTCCAGCCTATATAAGGTCCAGGCAGTGATACTCCTTAGGGCTTTCCAAGCAGGGTCCAGTGCCTCTAGCTGGAACTTGTATCTGTATTTATAACCTCAGTTTCCTGATCATCTTCCTTAGTGCCTGTATGCTTTTGGGAAGGCATGCCTCCTTTTTAATCTCTCCTGAGCCAAGGTGGTAAAGCAGCCTTTGAAGCAGTTTGCCTTGGGATATCATTCCTTTCCCTGACTTGGGGGAACTTTCTCGATCCAGCTGATATTCTGTGGCTTGCAGGTTCTTGAGTTGCATGATTTCTGATGAACCCTTCTTAGGCAGGAGCTATTTTGTGTCTGGAGCTGTCTCCACTTCCAGCAGATCTGGAAAGCTAAATGCCAGTGTGTGTGTGCCAGTTATGGTAACAGCCTATCCATTTAGCTTGCTGTTGCCATGAGGGGGAGGCCATACTTTCCCTCTGTGCGTTGTGCTTTCTTTCCCTGCTTTGTACTCATCTGCACTGACTACATTCACCACTCAACTCAGTCAAAAGTCGTATTTTCTTTTGTAGGGTTTAAGTGCAATTAGGGAAGGGTGTCAAAGCTGGTACTGGTAGGAGGGTAGGACTATGAGGAAAGGAAAAGAGCAGATGAGTTCTCTCCTCTTCTTCCTCCCAGGGCAATAAAATGTTGGTTTGACTTATCTGTAATATGTAAATTCATCCTAATGCAGCAAGGAAAACTGATTGGCCCTGCTGGGCTCTCTCCTGTGCTAGCGTGCTGCCTAAGCACACTGATACTAGTTCTAGCATGAAGGAGGGACAGAATATGCACCCAGGTATGAGGAGGGTGGGATTGCCAGAGCTCTGATTTACATCCCATTAATATTCCCTGAGGAGGAAAAAGAAAGCCAAAACAAAACCCAAAAATATTTGTGGGGAAGGGGCTACAGGCAACACTTCTGCTTCTGTCCAGTAGATGTTCTGATTGCTGAGGGTTACTGAGGTTACAACATGCTCAAATTCTACTTGGCAGCAGTGATTTTTATTTTCATGTTTCTTAAAAGGTGGGGAAGAGAACAGCAAACACTTCCAAGGTTACCAAGAGTCAAGTGCTTCAAGTAGAGAGCAAGTAAATAAGTAAATCTATAAATAAATGGTTTCCATTGATGTGGCAGTAAACTGCAGAAGCCCATGCTGGTAGTTCAACAGCGCAGTGAAGCGATGTCTTCTGAAGTGGCATGTTCCCCTCCTTCCAGCAGCACCAGCCCCGTGTGCAGGATGTGACCACGCTGCCTAGGGGAGGCAGTTCATGCCTGCCCAGAAGCTGTCAGGAAGCGGCAAAAATACAATCTGTCAGCACCTGGAGTGTTTGATTTCCTTTTTCGGCTCTACCCCATTTGTTTAAGCAGAAATATGCCCTAGAACTTGGCTTGCTCATTTGTTTTTTTTTTTTTTTTTTTTTTTTAATTCTATTTTACAAAAGTAGGCAAACAAGTTCTGTTTGTGCTCAAATGACCTCAACTGACTTGTAAATCTGGACCAAATATTAGTATGTTGTTTTGTTTCCAAAATTATATCTGTGGTTCCTTTGTTTTTATTTCTGTTTGTTAGATCAAGCCTCAGAGGTACAGGTGACAATGATGCTGACTGAAAGCTGTAAACTCAGAGGACTTCATCACAGGTAAGCTATTAGTGTTTATAAGTAAAACTGTATCCATGTGAGCTGAAAATACTTCTGCTTAAAGTTCCCTAAGGGAAAGGAAACACTTTTTTTTTTTCTTTTTTCAGAGTTCAGCAACGTTTTGTATGTTTGAAATTTTTAAGCCATAAAGAGCTAAAACTATATTTGTGTCACTTTAAAATACTGAATTCTAGGTATGCTTCTTACTGCAAAGAGTGCTTATAAGCTTTTTTTCTTAGCTGTGTGGTCTGTAGCAGTGTATGGAGAAATGGGGAAAGTCTTTGGTGTTTCAAACCTCTCAGTACATTATGGGTTGACACTCCTTTTATATATCTTTAGGTTTTTACAGGAAAAGGTGCTCCAGGCATGTGTTGGTTTCTCCTGGTTCTTGCACAGACTTGTTGTTAAAAGTGGTGGATCTTCATGATGATACCTTTCAATACCTAAAGAGGCCAACAAGAAACAAGGAGAGGGGCTTTTGACAAGGGTCTCTAGTGACTGGACAGTGGGGAATGACTTTAAAGTGACAGAGGGTAGAGTTAGATTAGATATTAGGAAGAAGTTCTTCCCTGTGAGGGTGGTGAGACACGGGCACAGGGTGCCCGGAGAAGTTGTGGCTGCCCCATTCTTGGCAGTCTTCAAGACCAGGTTGGACACAGGGGCTTGGGGCAACCTGCTCTAGTGGAAGGTGTCCCTGCCCATGGCAGTGGGTTGGAACTGGATGAGCTTTAAAGTCCCTTCCAACCTAAACCAGTCTATAATGAGGGTAAGTAGATGTGCAGGTTGATTGTCAGTTCAGCTAGTTTACAGGACTGTTTTGTATTGTTCATAATTTTCTGCATGACACAGAGAAGTACTGTGATTAGGTACTGGCCCTCCTGGACACATGGAAAGTCTTTCTCGGACTCTGGCACGCGTGTTGTCCTAGTATGGCATTGTAACAGCACTGACTCTGGAAAAACTAATGACGTGGGTTTTAGGGGGTGATGACTTAAGTTTTTTAAATTAATGCCTCAAACAGCTTGAGTTAGGGGCAGTTTTGCAGCTTGGATTAAGGGCTGAAATCGGCAAGGGTGCAGGTAAGAAGAAACCTGCACTCATTGTCAAGTCCTTGGACTGTTAATTGATTTTTTTTTTTTTTTTTTTTTTTAACTGGTAATGTGAAGGAAATAAGAATAGCTCATGCACAATGATTAGTTCTATAGTGCATGTAGACGTTGCTTTTCTAAGAGTTGTTCTTGTTAAGGCCTTGCCTAAAATCAGGATTGTGTTGAGAGGAGTAGCAGGTTCTTGGGGAAGCATACTTAATATTAAAACATAATAAAACACACCCCCCCTCTTGTAATTCAGAATCAGCTCCTATTCTCCCTTTTACAAGCCCAACTCTTTAAAAAGTCCAAAAAGCTTTTCTTCTGTACACTGCCTATAGAGCTGGGACCTTTATCTTGATCAAAGATAGATGGTATGTAGAGCTCATGGGTGTGACACCTGACTGTCAGACATCTTCAAGTAAGAACAGGAAATTTCCAAATTCCCTTTGAAAAATAATTTTTGGAGACTTACTAATATGTTTTCAGGAGAAGATACAGCTTTTTTTAAAAAACCTTTTGTGGAAAATTGAAACTATATATGGTTTGTTTCAAGTTTCTACCAACTGGTATGTTGAAACTGTAGTAAGCTATTCAGAAACGATGCAGCATGGGAGTTGTCTGAGCCAGAAGGAGTGCTTTAAAGTGCTTTAGTGGTGGACATGTCAGCATTAGATTTACTGGATGATCTTGTCTTTTCGAAGCTAAGTGATTCCATTATTATGTAACTAACACCCATGATAAAACTCCTGAGATACTTCTGCATTTAGAGTGCAGTTTAATGTTTAGTTGATTGAAAACTGAAATTACCTGGCATTTTGAGGTGGATCAGACATGGTGGGTTTATTTTCTTCTTTTTTAAACCACTGTAATGGAGCTATATAGTCTTGTATCTGCAGTTGCATTTAGACTTCCAAGCTGAGGATATATTGCTGCTTAATATAAACTATAACCTGTATTAACAGAAATTTATTTCAGTCCTTTTGGACCAAGTGAAGACTTTTGGAGAGTTCTTCATAATGGGAAAATACTCATAATCTCATCAAATAAATTATCGAGGGCTTCAGATATCTGCAGAGCTTGTGCTCTGCAGCTCATAATGCAAGATTAAATGCTTTTCTTCAGTATTGAATTGGTTTTACTTACTGTGTTCAGGGATCAAGAAGATTTTTCTCAAATATCAGTTCTATAAACTTGGGAATTTCTCTGCCTGTCTTCCAGGAATCTGCTGCCTATCACTCATGTCTGTATAGAAGAGGGAGAGAAACCAATGGTGCTGCTGCCATACATGAACTGGGGGAACCTTAAACTATTCTTGAGACAGTGCAAGCTGGTAGAGGCCAACAATCCTCAGGTACGCTCTGAAATGTGTATCTTCTTGCCTGTTAAACTTGGACTTGGTTTGTCATCTGTGTATGTGCCTTAAAATAAATAGTTGTGGTATTCCCCTATTAGCTGGTGACAATGAGAGAACTGGCGACAATGAGAGAACTGGCAAGCAGCTTCCCCAGCAAGTGTTTGTCTTGATTTATACAAGGAAAACATTCTCGGCTGTCTTTATTATGGATGTTCAGAGAGCATGAAGCTGAGTTAAACTTGGGTTAGGGTAGTGCCTGATGTATCAACACATCTTAAAAAAAATTTTAAAGATGTATTTGGTTGTGGGTTTAAGTTAGAATGCCCAGGGGGAAATTGTGTACGGGGAAATGCCAGATTAACTGATTTTATTTTTGTTATAATTAATGCATTATCCCTTTAATTACTGTAGTTCTTAATTTCATAGTAAGCATAAAGCACTTCTGTGCTGCTGTAGGTTTGTTAATAAGTAAAATAATTGGATTTAACTACATGCTAAAGGAAGCAATCTGCTGGTTTTACTGCTGTGTGTGCTCTTCAGCATTTATAATTTTACTGTATTTCAGTCGAACCTGTTGAATACGTTTCATAAGAAGTGAGAAAATATTCTTAGATGAAAACATTTTGCTTATTTTTAATAATCTGAATAAGCATTTAGTGATGTATGTGTATATGTGTGATCCCTCTTGTTAGGATTATCTTGTTTTTTCTTCAACTTCACCTTGGTTGGCTTCTGTCTTTAGACTAAGTTAAGCACAAAATGAAATCTCACTTCCTGAGGTCAGCATTTGTCCCTGTTATGTACCAGATTTCAAACTAGCAAGGGCCACCTACCTCAGTTAATCTGCAAAGTGTGATAAACTGCTAGATTTTTTCAACTTGGATTTTACATGTGTTGCTGCTTAATCCAAGTTATAAATCTCTATACAATGCACTAATACCCCTTTCCAAGGATTTCAGCAGAAATTGTATTTAGAATCTGTATTGTGTCAAACAGGAGTTGTCTTTTAGTAAGTAGGTATGGCTGTACTTAACTATCAAAAAAAATGGGACATTTGGTGTCTTATTTTAAGATGAAACTTTTCTACAAATACTGACACTCTTGAGTTTTCAGCAATAATACGTCTACTGTTCTTAAACTGTTAATGAAGAAGCCAGCTTATTACTGTTTTAATTTAGCATTTGGTTCATTTTGATCCCAGTCTTACAACCTCAGTGTGTCCATCTGCATACCAAAGTTTCCAAAACTCTAGAAATGGAAAAGGAAGTCCAAGGAGTAAATACGTGTAAGGGTTTAATTTATGTAGGACTGTGAAGTTGTAAAAGTAGATGGGGCAACAGCTTTTGATACTAATTTTCAGCAGTAGATACTGACTGCTGCTTGTGCTCTGGTAAAGGTGAGGGGAAAGGTCAGGGTCACTAGAATATGACAAAAACACCTCATGGGCACTGGCCTTACAAGTTTGCAATGATGATTGTTCTCTGCTCTTGCAGGCAATATCCCAGCAGGATCTTGTACATATGGCTATTCAGATTGCCTGTGGAATGAGTTACTTGGCCAGACGGGAGGTCATTCACAAAGACCTGGCTGCTAGAAACTGTGTGTAAGTACTCAACAAGGTAGAGTCATTGCACAGAGAATGTTATGTCAGGAGCTAAAGCCCATGGCAGGGGGGTTAGACCTTTTAAGATCCTTTCCAATGCAAACCATTCTATGATGGCTTTCTTCAATTGGCCTGATCTCTGTTTCACAATATGCAACTGCTTAGGTTTTCCAGCTTTTGGGTCAATAGTTTTGACAGTGAAGTCATTTTCCTCTAAACATGAGGTGAACAAGAAATTGTGGTTTTCAAGGAAGCAGAACATTCTCATCTTAAATACTTTTGCTAGGTTTTGTCTATCACTTTTTCAAAGACGTGAAAAATATTAAAGCTCCCCTTAAGCTTTATTAAAAACTTGGAATATCTTTGGCAGTTTATCAATGGAGAGATTTTTGTATGAAGTTGCTTTTCTTCATTATTTTTTTTTTCTTAAAAATGGCTTAATAGCTTTGATAATTTGTAGATTTCTTAGTTGTCAAATGATGAATAGATATGAATGTGCTTCATAATGGTAGGAATGACATGCCAAGATAGGTTTTGGGACCATCTTCTGACTGGAATATGCCCTCAAAATGTAGAGATTGAGGTGTTTCAGTCACTTGGAGACTGCCAACTGTGCTCATTGTCCATCTGCTTTAATACCTAATAAGGGGAAACAGAAAATCAGTTAGGGTTCTGCCTAAACTTCACAGGGGGCAGTTAGTCTCTGAGCTTAGTTTTATGATATCTTCAAATAAAATAATTTCAAGTAACACAGTTACTTTTCAGAATTAAAGACACCTCCCTTTCCCCTGGCCACACACTGGTCTGTTAATGAACTAGTAATGAAAGAAAAGAAGAAAGAAGCAACCTCAGGGTTATACCCTACAGCTGCATACAAATTGTCAGTGGTGTACCTTCTAATGAGGGAACTGAACTACTGATGAGTATAAAATCTTTAACCTGGAATCGCCTATTAGAGGTGATTTTGAGATTTGATTAGCTCTGCTTTACCATAAACAATTTCATTTATGAAACAGTATGTCATTGAATTGACATTGGAACAGGTTGCCCAGAGAAGCTGTGGCTGCCTCATCCTTGGCAGTGTTCAAGGCCAGGTTGGACACAGGGGCTTAGAGCAACCTGCTCTAGTGGAAGGTGTCCCTGCCCATGGCAGGAGGGGTTGGAACTGGATGATCTTCAAGGTTCCTTCCAACCCAAACCATTCTATAATTTTATGATCACTGGATCACATGGGATGAATTCACATCCTGTATTACTTCAGTTACAATACTCCAGTTATTTTTGGAAGAAAATAAAGTACCTCATGGTCTGGTCATCTTGATTCATCTTGCATCTGTTTTATGAAAATATTACTGATAAACTAGTTAGCTTTTCAGAATTGCTGCCCCCATTTTCTTTACGACCTTGGGGCATGTATCACATGTAATCTGAGAGGCTTTTTGCCTTAGCAGTACCTACAGGCTTTTCTCAGGCCCTGTCTTCTGCCAGTGCAAGGGTGTAAAGACTGAAGCACACTCCCGAATCTTCAGGTTTCTCAGTTGCCTGGAAAGGAGTGACTGGGTTACTCTCTGAGTTCCTGCTCTTTGGCTTCCATATCTTTCAACTTTCTGCCACCTACGTGAACGTGTTCTTCCTTACTTGCCAATATGTTTTCCAGTACACCCTTGGGAATACCTTCGTGGATACTCAGGTCCTCGGTCCCTCCCATATCTTCACGGCATAGTTGCTGGACCACCTTATTGGTACCCCTTTTTACTGGGGGTTTGCTCTGATTGTTCCCACATAGCCCTTGAATTGGAAGCCCAGCTTCTGCCTTCACACTTTTCATGGACAACATGCACTTCTAGAGTGTGGTCTGCCTTGGGGCCATGATGCTGGTGTCTGTTACAGAGCTCTGCACATCTGTCTCAGCAATTAACAGTAAAATATGAGTCAGGTCCCCACACCAGGCTAGGTCCTTTCCTGAAATTTGACCTGACTTCCCTGCCTAGCCCCTCAAGGGTTGTCAGGGTCACTCTTGCTAAAACTTCTTTTTAAACTTTGCTTATAAAAATAAAGAAATAATTGTCAAGATGAACAGACAGCAAATGCCATCTTGTTACAATCCCTCTAACCCCATGTTATTTCTATATTTTTGTCATAAGACAGTACAGCCAACACCTTGCCCATAGCCTGAAGTCAGCTGTTTATGACAACGTGAACTTTACTATGCATTTTAAGTTCAAAAGAATATGAATTAACATCTCGGCGTGGGGGGGAATCAGTAGGCTCCATGTGCTTTTTTCAAGTTATCTTTTGTTGATTAAGTAAGTTTCCCTTAGCCAGTATCCTAATTCTGACAACAGAATGGGTATCTCAAGTAGAGGGGAATAAATAACATCTTACCAGATTGCTGGCTTAGAGACAAGCTTTTAGGCCACAAATAATATCAGTTGCTTTACCAAGGTACTACTAGATCTTGCTTTACTTAAATCTTTGGCTTAATATTGGTACAGAGGTACTATAGCTGAAATTTAATTGACTTGAAAGAGGATTTCCAAGGGATCAGGAATAATTTAAGGGAGTTGTTTGTTTGCTTTAACTGTGGGTGTTAGGTTTTTGGGTTGGGTTTTTTTTTTTTCACTTGTAAATGTTTGGATTTTATTTCATCTAAGACTGCTGATTTTTCTACTGCTTATCTGTTAATGCAGAATAAATATGTTCTTTGATAATGTTTGATTGTCGTAGAGTAAGTGTGTCTTGATCTAGAAGAATGCTAGTCCTTTGAAATGTTGATAGTGTGATTAGCATTCCCCAATTAAATCTCAAGTCTGAAACAGAAGGTTGAGCATAAATATATTCTGTGAAACTAATGCCAAGTTTGCTAAGTGCTTCTTTTCTTTTAAATTAGCATTGATGATGCACTTCAGGTTAAGATTACAGACAATGCTCTCTCTCGAGACCTATTTCCTATGGACTACCATTGCCTGGGAGATAATGAAAACAGGCCAGTTCGATGGATGGCTCTCGAAAGCCTGGTTAACAATGAATTTTCCAGTGCTAGTGATGTGGTAAGTGTTTGGGGGCTTATTTTTGTTTATTTGGTTGGGGTGTTTTGCTCTCTTTTACATTTTGTAAATATATTTTCTGACATTTTTTCCCCTTTTTCAGCTGCACTGAATTGGTAACAGTGATTTGCCCAGAACGGCATCTATACACCTGCTTCCTACATTTGCGTCTCATAGCAGATAATTCAAAGGTCAAGCAGGCCCTTCTTGCATGGCAAAAGTGTCCCTTGCACTCTCTTCTTCTTGGTAGCATTAGCAGGAAAGGCAGTGAGTAGCCTGTATTGGGACTTGTCTGCTATTTGAATTAATGTGATCTAGAGTCCACAACAGAGTATTTCAGCTGTGGTCTCACAGATAAAGAAATGAAGAATTGCTTCCCTTGACCTGGTGGCTATACTCATGCTAACAAGGCGTCCCTGCCCATGGCAGGGGGTTGGAACTAGATGAGCTTTAAGGTCTCTTCCAACTCAAACCATTCTGTGATTCTGCAATCCTTGGTAATGAAATCTGTTACAAACAAGTTAGATGATGTCCATTAAGATGCAATTGGCACGTGTTGTAGTCTTGCTTTTTGGATGAATTTCTTCAAAATGGTTTTGCTGGCTTCGAACATTCCTAATGTGTTCCTCGTCTGCCAGCATTTATATCAGTCAGTCAGAGCATAGAAAAACAAAACATGATTCCTGTTGAATTTTAGTTCAGTGTTTTTTTGCTCTGTTGGAAATGAAGCTGTGTGTCTCTTCATGCCTTTTTTTTTTTTTTTTTTTTTTTTTTTTTTTTTTTAAGCTACTTATGGAATTGCTATGAGAAAATCTGGAGACTGCACCACTTATGTTTTGTTCACTTGGGTCTCTTGATACCAGCTAGTAAATCATTTTACTTGTACTGTGCTTGCATGTGAATTGATTGGTTGATTTTTCATCACCTTAAGCTCCTTTTGACAAGTGTTGCCAGTTGAATGTGTTGAATGCTGATCCAGCTGTCATGTTTACTTAGATGAAATCTTTTTCTCATCAGTCTGACTTCTGAGCCTGTACTCAAAATATACAGATGACTGATTTAAAAAAAAATTAAGGTTTCATTCAGTCTGCTCTTCTGAATCTTTGAATTCCACAGACCTTTGTTGAGGAATTTTCTGTACTATTTTGAAGAGGTAAAATGTAATATAAAATTGTTTTTCAAAACTATGGTTTAATGTTTCATGTTCCTTAGATTTGTTAAGTTTTCTGAAATGTCATACTGAAAAAATGCAGCAAACTTTTTTTTTTGTTGTTGTTTTTTTTGGGGGGGGGTTTATTTTTTGCATTTAGATTTAAGGGCACTAAGATTTGACTTAACATCTGTTCTGTGATTCTTAATTGTCCCCAGTCAAGACAATGTATGGTCATGTTGAACTTGTGTGTATACATACAGCATTTATGTAAAGCTTTCTTGATTTCTCTAGTTTTATTTATGACTGTTTCTGGTAGAACACCAAAAGTTGGCATGTTCTGTTAATGCTTCACGCTATTTCTTTTTAGTGGGCCTTTGGAGTAACGCTGTGGGAGCTGATGACTTTAGGACAGACTCCATATGTTGATATTGACCCATTTGAGATGGCTGCTTATTTAAAGGACGGCTATCGAATAGCTCAGCCCATCAACTGCCCTGATGAACTGTAAGTGCATGTTTTTTGGAATGAAGATAAAAAGTCTATTTTGTAATTGGCATGTAAAGCCAGCCTTATCGATGACAGAGCCAAGTTCTTCTTCCCCTGCCTGTTTATTGTGCCTTTTACACAAACCCTTGTGCAAGTATTTGTATGGCATACGCCAAGAAACTCAGGCTAAAATTAAATGCTTTTTGTTGGTGGTGTTGAGTTTCATTTAATCCTGACCCAACTCTTTTACTTATTGTGATCATGGGAGAAATGAGGTTGATCAGCAGGATGGGAGGAGGGAGGCAAAGGGGCAGGGGTTTTCAGGACTGCAGTGTAGGAGGCTGCTAGGTGTGTAGGTAGAGGGAATCTCTGCTCTGTCAGCAGGACTATGGAGAAGTACTGTGTTTATTGGTGTTAAATGGCAGTGCTTGGAGTGTTTTTTCATAATCATAATGGTATAGGAGAATGCAGGTGCACAGGCACTACCTTCTGCCTTGCGTGTTCTTCCAAATCCCCTTCCTGTAAACCTACCACAGAAACACTTGCAAACTTTGCTTTTGCAATAGTTGAGCAATTTTCCGTAAACTACGTATTGCTTTCTCATGGGGTGCCTCTGACTTGTATACTATCCATGTGCTTCCAGTCACGGCATGTTTATTGATTATTCCAGGTGTCTTTTTTTTCTGAAGCAGTTGTTCAGCATCGTGTATCAGAAGATACAAGTTCCTTTTCTCTCTCCATTCAGCAGGTTTTCCAGTGGCAAATACTGTTTTTTCACTTTCAGGTTGAGATGGTGGTCACCTGGCTTACATTTTCACAACTTCCATTTGTCTTTGCCTTGCAGGTTTGCTGTGATGGCCTGCTGTTGGGCCCTAGACCCTGAAGAAAGACCCAAGTTTCAGCAGCTGGTGCAATGTCTAACTGAATTTCATGCAGCATTGGGAGCCTACGTCTGAAACTACAGAAGAAGATTCAATTCACTGACTGGGAGAAGGCATGGCATACATCTGCAGCTCCGTGCATCACTCGGACTCACACACGGGATGTGTATAAAGCAACACTAAAGGGAGAAAGCACTTCTTCCAAAACACTGTGCCTTAGAATGCCTTAGTAGTCTGAAGTTGTTTTTTTTTTTTTTGTAAGACCTCTTGATGTTGAATATTTTCTAGATATCAATTTTGCTAAGTTAAATTGACACCATTTTATTTGCCATCAGGATTTTTAAAGTGTAGTGATAGTGAACTTAAACACAAGATTGGGATGGACTTTGCACTCTTACAACAGACGTGATTATTTTTTGAAGGGTATTGAACAGGCAGAAAAGCGAGGCACGGGAAATCGATGCAAAAGCCACACTGCAGAAAACATTCCCTGCTTCTTAAAACTGTTGAAACTGAATCTTTCTGACCAGCTCTAGTGTTTGTACTTGTATGTATCTGGAATAGCTTTTTAGTATCAACTTCTTCTATTTTGAGACAACAGCACATTGTGGTTGGATCCACAAGCGGCATCTTACTTTGTTAACCCATTCACAAATGCTTTTTGGAAAAGCTGGTCTTCAGGATACAATATCTCCTTTTTAAAGCAGTAAGTGATCATGTAAAAGTGATTCCAGTTTACCTCATACAAAGAGCAGTAAAGGAGGTGTAAAAATGGTGCCCCTCCTTTCAGATAAAAGGCTGATGTGATTTTTTTTTTTTTAAGATGATTTTATGTGCTAAATAGAGGCCTTCAGAGAAGCGCCAAAGCAGCCCTTTTGTGGGAGTCTTTCACCTCAGACTTCTGAATCGGAGTTTCTCTTGTTCAAAAAGGTACTGATTGTTTTTTATGGGCTTTTATGGCCTGAAATGGGCTTAAATATATAAATATATATTTGTAAAGACACTTGCAGAGTAAAGAATGTTTTTCTATTACATCTAATGTGAAAGATTGGTCCCTCACATTGCCCCATGTATTGAATGTGCAGAGTGGTGTGGTGGTGGTGGTGGTTGCACTGGAGTTGGCATGAAGTCAAGGTGGATTTCCTGCCTCCCTCCCTGCAGAACCTAGTCCCTGAAACTTAGTATATTGTCCTGCTGCCTTCTTCAATCCAAATATCCCTTCCACCCTGGGTTATTTTGAGTTGAACATTACTTCATAGGAGTGAATGAGTTATTTCGGGGAAAATGTGTGTTGAGCCATTGATTCAGGCTCAGGAACTTTATTTTGTATATATATCTATATATATGTGTAACTAACAAAGATATTTGTAGAATAACTTAGTGTTCCAAATGAACTGTAGGCTGTATCCTCTACAAGGTGGCATGAGGCAGGTTGAGCTTTAGCACAATGTGAAACAGGAAAAATTGCCTTTTGTCTCACTCCAGCTTCAGAGTAAAGCACCCGTAACCTCAAGTGTTTGTGCAACTGCATGGTTGGGAGCATTGCCCTGACAGGCTCCGTAGCAGTTGTAGCATTTTAGGAGACTTTGGTCTGCAAGTACAAGCAGCTGGATTTGGCTGTGTCATGCAGATGTGCAGAGGGTTTTTTCCTTTCCCGAGTTCTGAACCTGGATGAAAGAAAGAATACGTTCTAATGAGTGTCCTGTGAGGCAGAACTTTGCATGGGCTCTTCTCAGTCTTACAGTCTGCCCCTTTGCATTGCTAAGCTAAAAGGGAGTGTCCCTCAAAATGCAGGAGCATTTTGTACTTCTGTACTTCATGTTAGTTATCTGTGGCTGGTGAACCAAGGCTTGCTGTATCCTAGAAGGAGCTTCTCCTGCTGGCTCAAGTTTGGGCATGTTATGATGGGCTGTGTTTGCTTGAATGAATTGAAACTGGTTTCATTTGGCTGGCTTTGGAGTCACTGAGTTTGTTGCAGGTAGCAGTAAGGCTTTGGTTGTGTGGACTTTTGTGGTCTCTTTTCTTTCTGACCCAGGGAAACTACCTAATGTCTGTACCTGTTTACAATGACTTGGATGTTAAAGCTTTCAGTGGCAGTGTTATTTCATGTCAGATCTGTGTTATGATGGGATCTACAGAGGTCATAGCTGTAAGATTTACTTGAGATTGGAAAACAGCCCAGGTTGAAAATGGTATGCATATTCTATGTGCTTTACAGCCTGGACTCACATACATGCATATGTTGCAAGATCTGGTCACATCTGATAGGTATCTGAAGTGACTATAACCGCTAGGGTCTTGTGGTGGGTTGGGGATGTACTGCACTTCAAGCTGCTCCACTTTATCAGCACGAGCTATGGCAATAGTAAACTGTCAGCTTTCCCTTTGCTAGACTGTTTCTTATCTACTCCCAGATGAGCATGCACATCAGTAGAGACTGAGAAGTGGTTTAGTGTGTCAGTAAGGTATAGATACACCTATCCATTTTGGAAATTGTACTTCTTATTTAAACATGCTTCACCTACAGGGGGTTAAAGCTAAGACAGGCATTTTGCTGATGGCAGAGCTACCTTGAGTAGATACCTTGCATGAGTTCATTGTACCTAAAGCCCTGGAGGGAAGGGAGGCCCAAGGAAGCCGGTTAATATTCAAGGATCACCTCCTCCAAGCTCTGGAGTGATGCATCCTGACAAAGTCAGGCAAGAATGCCAGGAGGCCTGCCTGGATAAACAAGGAGCTCCTGGACAAATTCCAGCACAAAAAAGTGGCCTACAGAAGGTGGAAACAAGGAAATGTAGCTTGGGGGGAATACAGAGAAATTGTCTGAGTAGCCAGGGATCTGGTTAGGAAAGCTAAAGCCGTGATCATTAAATCTGACCAGGGACATTAAGGGCATCAAGAAAAGCTTCTATAGGTACATTGGGGATAAAAGAAAGGCAAGGGAAAATTTGGGCCTTCTGTAGAAGGAGACAGGAGACTTGGTTAGGTGGGACGTGGAGAAAGCTGAGGTACTCAATGACTTTCTTGCCTTGGTCTTCACTGGCAAGAGCTCCAAGCATACCACACAGTTTGCACAAGGCAAAGGCAGGGGCCAGGAGAATGAAGAACTGCCTGTTGTAGGAGCTCAGGTTTGAGATCATTCAAGACGCCTGAAGGTGCACAAGTCCATGGGACCTGACAAGATGCATCTGTGGTTCCTGAGGGAACTGGCAGATGAAGTTGCCAAGCCATTATCCATCATATTTGCGAAGTTGTGCCAGTCCAGTGAAGGTCCTGCTGACAATCCTCATTTTTAAAAAGGTAAAAAGGAAGACCCAGGGAACTACAGACCAGTCTCACTTCAGTGCCCAGCAAGGTCATGGAGCAGATCCTCCTGGAAACTATGTTAAGGCACATGGACAATAAGGAGGTGGTTGGCGACAACCAACATGGCTTCACTAAGGGCAAATCTTGCCTGACGAATTTGGCATCCTCCTGTGATGTGGCCACAACATCAGTGGATAAGGGAAGAGTGACTGACATCATCTACCTGGACTTGTGCAAAGCATTTGGCACTGTCCTGCATGACATCCTTGTCTCTAAACTGGAGACATGCATTTGGCGGATGGACCACACAGTGGATAAGAAGAGGGCTTGAGCATCTGTCCTGTGGAGATAGGCGGAGAGAGCTGGGCTTGTTCAGCCTGGAGAAGAGAAGGCTCTGAGGAGACCTTAGAGCAGGTTGGATGGGGCTTGGAGCAACCCGGTCTACTGGAAGGTGTCCTTGCCCATGGCAGGGAGTTAGAACTCGATGAGCTTTAAGATCCCTGCCAACCCAAATCAGTCTGTGATTTTGTGGCTGGTATTAAAACAGGATTCAATGTGAGTCCAGCCATAGTTTTTGATCTCAAAACAGGAATTTTATTGAGAAGGCATTGGGAGAAATAAATCTAATTAAAGTAAGAAAAAGGGCAGGCAGCCTCCTAAGGCTGACAGCCTGCTGAGGAGTGAGGTTTGATCCAGATACCTTCCTGGAGCCACAGAGTGCCTGATAAGGAGCCAGTCTGGCACCTGAAATCTGCAGTGCTGCTGGTGGGAGGGAGGCTTTTACACCTTCACACATCCAGGTTCTTGCAACCAGATAAGGACATTCCTGTAACCATTCATGTGCTTCACTGGTGATGCACTTGCTAATTGCTGCTTCCTCCCTGGTAGGGATGTGGAGAACATACCTTCTTTCTGGGGTGCTGCCTAGCAAATACCAGTTTGAAATGGCATTGCAGGGAGGGCATTTTTTTGGGGGTGGAGGGAACATGTTTATTTCTGATGGCTCATCTCATTCCTGTAAGGAGTGAACCTTGTCTATCCTGACCTCTTAACTGTACCTTGCCCTGGAGCAGCATCTCATGTGTAGTGCTGCTAAGTAAGCACTTGCTAAGGATTGCGTGTTCAATAAAAAGAGGAGGCTTCTATTACCGTGCAGCAGCTCTGTAGCAGAAGGCGAGGTCTGAATGTAAGATTCAGAGGTTTTCAGGGTCAGTTATTGGCCTGATTTGGGCTGATTATACTGGGCTTAAGACTCAGGGAAAGCCTGGTGTGTGTTCTCATGTACTGGCTTACATTGGTGTCCTACAGCCCCACCAGAACTACAGCAGCTGAATGCTCCTTTGATAGTGCTGTGTCTGTGTCGAGCCATCTGCTGTCACGCTTCCCTTGGCTGTAAAAGGCAGTAATAATGTTGGGTCTGTCTCCTTCCTTTCATGGCACAGAAACTCTTCTCAGTCACATAAACAGCTGTGGCTTACTATAACTCTAGGCCCAGCTCTTACTCCAAGGCTGATGTTCCAGAGAGCAGATCCCCTTTTCCAGGCTGCATGGCAGCTGAAGCAGCCAAACATAGCAGCTTTATTAAAGCTTCAAGTCAGAACATTTTTCCACTAAGAAACCCAAGAAATATTCAAAGTTAAACAAAATAACTGCCCCAAGTGCATTTCTGATTCAGCTGTCAGCTTCTGTGCATTCCTAGGGTGGGAGTGGCTGGATGCATCAAATAACCTCGTCTCTTCCTCTCCCTCCCTCTTGCCCCCCAGCCTCTTCTTCAGCTCTGTAGTCTCAGCTTCTACCTTGTTTTCTCCTGCTCAGACAAGATGCACTTCATTTTAGGTTATTGGAGCCACAACACTTAGCAAGTAACTAGAAACCTGAGCACTTGGGCTCATTAATGAGACAAGATTGGTCTTTCTGAAACTAGTTTGTGAGAGAAGGACCTATGTGGTGCAGTTCATTTCATCCTGTAAATGACAATGGAAATGGCTTGGACCTATGTCCAGAGACACTTGGATTTATGTCCAGAGACATACTGTAACTGTGTTGGGGATGTATATGGTGGCTCCCTGATGGAAGTCACTTGGTCTGGAGCTATGCGTCCTATATCCCGTCCTGTCCTCCAGCAGGATAGCCTTCTTGTAATGAAATCATTGCTTGCAGACATGAGAATAGCTCCTCTTCCTTTTCACATACCCTCTTCAGACTGCAACAGAACCCCCCCTGCATTTTGTACCCTTTGGCACCCAAGTAAGGGTTGCCTCTGATCCAGCAGTTTCAGAAGTGCAGCAGCATAGTGTTGTGCAGCTTGTGTGGAGAGACTTGCGCCAAGTGTGGCCACTCAGGGACCATCTCCTGGAGCTGTCCAACACCTTCAAA